ATGCAACTGTCAAAGGTAACAAAATACTGCTAATGCTTTTGCATGGTTTGATCAGAAATATGCTAAAGCCTGAAGTGCAAATAGTCACACATTTAGCAGACTGTTTTCTAAAATAAGTCTTCAAACCTGAATAAGAGATAAATGACCCCTTATTTAGGAAGATGCCTCCACACTGGATCAGTGGGTCGATGGTTATCAATCAACAACTTCACTGACTTTATTGTAATAGATTTCACATTATGGCCACAGGGGGGCACACCATTCCCACAAATGCGAGAACACACCCCTACTCAGACAATTCAGTTCCAACACAAAGGCTATATTAATCTCGGAAGGCAAACAACTGAGTTAGGTCACATATATTTTATGGGTGGCAACAATAAATTCCCAACAATAATTTAATCTAAAGCTTTAATATACAGCTAACAGTATCAGGACAAGACATTTCACTCCCATGCCCCACGAGTGTAGTGACTGCTGCTCAGTGGAGAGTAGGGTCATCCTTCAATCAAAGGATCGGTGGTTTGATCCCTGGCACCACTAGTCGCATGCTGTGCTAGCTGTGCCTACGGTGAGTCAGTTCTGATGGGCAGGTAGCCCCTGTGTATTCATCAGTGTATGAATTGGTGTGAATGGGTGAATGATATGTAGTGTTAAAGCGCTTTGGTGGGCGGAAGACTAGAAAAAAAGATATACAAGTACAGTTTACCGCTTTCTGTTTCAACATTTTAAAAATAATACTTTGTTGAATAAAATCATTTCTCCAAAAAAAATGAAAATCCTCACTTACTAATATGCTGTTGTATTGTGGAACCTGTGGCTAAAACAGGGAATGTTTGTGTCTATATACTATCAAAAACATAATAATGGATTTGCATCAATGCTGACCAGTTATGTTTTACAGAAACAAATTAACTCATGTTCTGTTTTCAGAGTTATCTGTCCAGGACGATATTGTACAGTCACCGTAAGTGTATAAGTTGTTAGTGCCCCACCAATAAAGGATGTTGATATTTGACAATTTTAAGTGGCAAGCTTGAAGATTTTAATTTGAATAAATGTCTGTTAAGTCACTGTCTATTGCCAGAGCTAACAGAATGGTGATTGAGGCCCACTGATGAAAGTATATCAATATTTATATATTTGCCAACTGGGCGTCTGTGACGATAATCCGGGGGAAAATGCTGCATTAGTTTGTCTCTGTTGTATACATACAAAAATGGAACAATGCACACAATTTTGAAGAATAACATGTTAGTATGGAGTTTCTGAATCAGCCCGACTAAACGCTGAGTGCAATTCCATTGTTTTCACTCAAAAAGAAATTCGAAATCAACCAGGACTGAAATCTTAATGGTTGACACTTTAAAACTGCACTAATCAATATTTTTATATTACCAACAGAATAAATTACTAATGGTATCACTTTTTATAAAGAACCCACAGAGTATGAATCTACCCTGCAGTTACCGTCAGCTCTACGCAGCTTTCTAGTATCATTTAGCTCATAGTTTGGGTTTTACAGCTCTCAACTCCATTGTTTTGGTTCAGTTTCAGCATTTTCATCAGCCTTGTTTCCAACAGGCAGCTGTTTTCAGTGAAAAAGCTCTGAAGCCACACTGTACACTATTACTGCTCTACTGCCTTAGCAGCGTTGGGGAGCTACTTTGAAAGCATAACCTGCCAATTACTTCACATTGGAAGAAGCAAAGGGAAAAATTTAGAAAAATTACTGAGCAAATTGTCACATTTATGTGATGTCACAAATATGTCATATGCCAGCAAAAAAATGCAACTCAACTGAGTTAATTTAAAAAAGTGGCCAACAAAAAATACAATACCCTGCTCATTTTGTTTAACTTTCTCCTTTTCAGAGCAATGGTCTAAAAGATTTGGCCTGTTGTCTTACTTGTCAGTTTTGTAACATCTGACTTGTGTGTGGAACAGTCTCGTCAAAGGGGTTCACTTGTCTTTACCATTCTAGAAGGAATGGTAAAATATTTCCTTTTATGGCCTAAAATTGTTTGTACACAAAAAAGAAAAGTAACAAAAGTACTTAAAATTAAATTACATTTGAATCAATATACAAATATGAATGTAGTTAAACTACCAGCAAGCTGCTGCAAAATGTAGTTCCGCTACTAGTTTTATTACATGAAGTTCACTACTACCCAACTCAGGGGTCGGCAACCCGCGGCTCCCGAGCCGCATGCGCCTCTGTTGCGGCTCCCTGAGTCTTTGACAAAAAACATTAAAATAAATAACTTTTTTTTGCACAGTGGACAGTGGACAGTCTTTCAAATGGAACACCTCCTATCTTGGAGTTTGAGGTGATACTGTGTCATGGAAAATAAAAAACGTTTTAATATTTAGTCAACTGAAATGTGCGTCACATCCTATTACGTCGCCGTCAAGCGCCTTCCCCTGCAGGTGGCTCGTCGTGATTGCAGACTCCCGCCCTCGGTAAGGTTATCAATGGATAAATCCAAAAAAAGAAAACTGGAAGAAAATAGAGAATTTAATTCTGCGTGGACGTATTTATTTGCGTTCACTGCCAGCAACGCTGGCTTACCGCTTAATATGAGGTGAGAAATTAGCAAACAACAAAAAATGTAATGTTGAAAGACACTTTCAGACCAAACACACAGCATTTGCTGAAAAATATCAAGCTGGAGATGCGCGAAAAAGAGCGATTTCTGAACTGCTGCAGAAAACTGAGCAAAGTAAATATACTTTCGCAAAGTGGATCAAGTCTCCAAACTCAACTACTGCTTCTAGTTTTGTGGCAGCTCATGAGATAGTAAGGCGTGGAAAGCCGTTCACAGATGGAGAATACATGAAAGAATCGTTCATTAAAGTATCTGAGCATCTATTCTCGGACTTCAAAAACAAAGGGGAAATTGTTCAAAAAATCAGAGATATGCCTCTCTCTGCAAAGACTGTTAAGGACAGGGCCATTAAAATGGCAACAAACATCACCAGTCAGCAAATTGAGGACATCAATTCAGCTGCAGCATTCTCAATCGCCTGCTATGAGTCAAGAGATGTAAACGACATTGAGCAGACAGCACTGGTATGCAGATACAGTATATGAACTCTAATGGGCCGCAGGAAGAAATCATTGAATTAATACCGCTAAAAGGGCAAACACGAGGGGAGGACATTTGTGAGGCTGTTGTGAATTGTTTAAAAGCTAAAGAAATAAACACGACCCGCTTGGTGTCAGTGGCTACTGATGGGGCACCCAGTATGAGAGGAGCACAGAAGGGATTTGTGACTTTACTTCAGAAGTCACTGGATCGAAAGCTGCTGTCGTTTCACTGCATCTTACACCAAGAAGCACTGTGCGCTCAAACATTTCCCCCGGAATGTATGGAGGTGATGAATCTTGTTATTCAGATAGTGAACAAAATAATGGCAAAGGGGTTAAACCACCGACAGTTCTGTTCGTTGTTGGAAGAGGTGGACAGCACATATTCAGATCTCCTGCTGCATAACAAAGTCCAGTGGCTGTCCAGGGGAGAGGTGCTAAAACGGTTTGCTGCTTGCCTGGAACATGTGAAAACATTCCTGGAAAGTAAAGACCTCACCTATCCTGAGCTGGGAGATCCAGATTGGCTGGAAAGGTTGCACTTCATGGTAGACATGACAAGTCACTTAAACACGTTGAACAAAAAAAAGTCTCCAGGGAAAGGGAGGCACGGCTCTGCAGATGCTGGAGGATGTGTTGGCGTTTGAGCGCAAGATGACAGTGTTTGCCAGAGATGTACAGAGAGGCAAGCTCTCTCACTTCCCCTCCCTGAGAGAGTTCAGAGAAAGAAATACTCACATAAATTGTGAGTATTTACAGGATGCAATTATTGAAATGCAAACTGCATTTGGGAAAAGATTCAGCGAGTTCAGGGAGGAAAAAAGCACATTATCCTTCCCCGTCACACACCTGGACATCGACCCATACCAGCTGAACATGTCTGCATTCCTGGGAGTAAGTCAACCTGATCTGGAAATCGAACTCGCAGACATAGCTGATAAAGACTTATGGTTGTCCAAGTTCAAAAGCCTGACAGCTGATCTTGAAGATGTCGCCCGTCAGAAGGCCGTCCTCGCTAGAGAGCACAAATGGAGCGACATTGAAAACCTCCCCAAACCCGACAAACTTGTGTTTGAAACATGGAATGCCATTCCCGACACTTACATGAACATGAAGACTTATGCATTTGGAGTCCTGTCCATCTTTGGATCAACGTACTTATGCGAGCAGATTTTCTCAAGCATGAACTACATCAAATCTAAATATCGCTCCCGCCTCACAGATGACAGCCTGCAGTCCTGTTTGAAGCTCAAAGTCACATCTTACAGCCCTGACATAGAGAAACTCTGCAGCGATGTTCAGAAACAAAAGTCACATTAAACAGGTGAGAACACGATCATTTAATAGGCTATTATCTTGGAGAAAAATATTTATTTTAGATCCTGAACTGATGTAGTTGTGTTTTTATGTTCAGGCGCGACGGTTGATGGCTGTACGTGGCTGAGGAAAAAAAGAAGAGGATGACATCGCACTGAAATGGACTTTAGTCTTACTTAAATACAAACTGCCTATTTTTTATCTTTACTCATTTTAAGATATTAGGCTGCAGCTATATGTTATAATTATTTCAAAGTAGGCTACTTTTTATTTAATATTGTTTTCCACAAACATGGGGAGAGGACCCAAATATACTTGAATTGTTCTGTGTTTGATTCACTTCTGCAGCTATATGTTATATTTATTTCTAAGTTATTTCCCACAACTATGGGGAGGACTGAAGGCCTGCATAGTTCTGTGTTTAGTTCTGTGTCCTCAATGTAGGCCTACACATGCCAGTGTATTTTTTTTCTCCTCCTCATAAAAGTTAAAATAGCAATAAAATGTCAATAATTGTCTTTATTCTTGTTCTATTATTTCATAAATACAACAAACTATAGTTTTTGTATATATAATATAACTATATATAAAACGTATATAAGCTGTGATATCGAATAGCTTTTGCGGCTCCAGACAAATTTTATTTGGTGGAAAATAGAGCAAAATGGCCCTTTGGACAGTAATGGTTGCTGACCCCTGACCCAACTGAACCAGCGGCAGACATAAATCCGTGGGCTGGCATTTGAGTGTATTAATCAGGCAGTTGGTCAGTTGTATTTTTGCCTCCTCTGTTTAAGCTATATGTATCTATATTAATATAGCAAAAACAACAAAATGATTGGCCGATACATGATGTGACTATATGGGGCCATGGCAGCTCTGTGGGCGGGCCCCTGCAGCCATAACGCCTGCTTCCCAAAATAGCTCCTTAGCACCAAACACAGTTAACAAGTAGCCGATGAACAGTGGAGCATTAACATAGGACATTTTTATAAGAAGGTATTTCTAGTGGCTTCTAAGAAGAACATTTAACAGTGTAAAAATAAACTTTTCAGTGCTCTCTGGTGGGCAAACTATGTAATGGAGAAACTGTTACTAAATGACCAGAAACATATCTTTGATATTTCTCAACTGACATTTGTTGCCAGCAGGAGGATATCCATTTACTTACGAAAATAACATGTGGTAATGTCGGCCTTGCGGGTGTATCTATCAGATTCTAGTTGTTGTTGTTGCTAAACAAGAAGTGCATACATTGGATCTTGTGTATTCTTCCCCTGCTGGCTACACGTCCTCAGTGGAAGTGCTGGGCATACGGCGAGACTTGGAAGAAGCAGATTCTTCAAAAACATCATCTTCCATGCCTTCTTCTATTGGCTTCATCTTTGAGGAGGTCTTGGTGCCAGGGGATTTTTCTAGAAAAAAATGAATTAAAAAAATAATTTAAAAAAAGAAAAGAAAAAGAAAATAACCTGTCCTGAGACAAATACCCCTGTATCAGCAAAGAAGAGTGCTAACATGAACACTACTTCAACCATTGGACAATTAATGTTGACATCCGGATAAATGTTAATAACCACCCCAATCTTTAAGCATGCTTTCCACTGCTTCATTGTGGTAATGTTTTTTTTTTTAAAAGCCAGTATTCAATTCATGGCCACTCTGGTGTGGCCGTCGGGAGCAAATAAAAGATGCCCCAGAAAAAAATGCCACGGCTCCTTCAGTCCATGTTGATGTGTCCTTGGACAAGACGCTTAACCCCATATTGCTCCCGTGAGCTGTGCCTATGGCAAGTGAGTGTTATCAAGGTGCCACCTGCCCCGTTACCCCCTTAGGTAAGAACTGTTAGCTAATGGTGCTAACAGTATACTAAGGTGAAAGGGCTGCTATGTGCCGTTGACATGTTAAGAGCCGTTGAGAGGAAATTGAACTGCTCCATATCTCAGATCTTTCACCATTAAATTGACAGACTTTTTAGGTGGTTCTTTCTTTTAGGTGGCTAAAACACATTTTGTTGCTGCTCCCATCCATAGCAGTTCATTACTATTCTCCCGTCTACTACAGGTAATAAACTGATGCAATATTGGTAAGTACCTTATACAACCCCACTTCAAATCTATCTATTTCAAGTTTTGCCACTGAAATGTAACACTACCTTAACATTTTTCACATTAAAAGCTGACGAGGAAAGGGAAAGACTATGGCAGCTGAGGCATTGATAATTTGATGTGAATGTTTAATATTCATTGATAGTAGCTTAACACCGATCCAGAAATGGAAATAATCAGGTAATTGGAAATAATAAAAAAATGAAAACAGTAAACTAGAGAAAGTGGGAGCGGCAGAGTGCTGTCTATGACATGTCAGGTAGAAACATGGTGGAAATATACATTATGATTAATTATCAAGACAACAAATTAACATGGAGGAAGTTCTGGGTTTGCATTCACTAAGGAACAGAGGAAATGCTGTTCCTGCCCTGTGTAAAACCAAAACGCAATGTTGACCTATTTCAAGGGTCTTTTTTGTTATGTAACTTATGTAAATACTAACTAACGCCACCTGTATGAACTACATAATAAGCGTACTTATTTGAACCCAAACCACAATCTTTTTCTAAACCAGCTATTCTCAAGATTTGGGCCAGGGCCCATTAGTGGACCTCAAAGCTCCACCTTGAGGGCCGCAGAGGTACTGCCAAATGCCATCCATCCATCCATTTTCTACGGTGTGAGTGAACCGGTGCCCAGCTTGAGAGAGCTCCTGTATGTCGCTGAATGTGTGCATTTCTGACTGAAAGATAACATCTTCTGCCTCCATATATTCAGGCTCTCGGTCCTGGCCCGCCACCCGGTCTGCATTGCACCCGACCCCGATGCTTGTCCCTGCGGGTGGTGAGTCCACAGGGTGGCTGCTCCATGGTGTTTCTTCGGGCTGAGCCCGACCGGGCCCCATGGGCAAAGGCCCGGCCACCAGACACTCGCCGGCGAGCTCCCCTCCTGGGTCTGGCTCCGGGAGGGTGCCCCGGTATCCCTGGTCCGGGCGAGGTGGCTGAAGTCTGTGGGCTGCTATTCATCCGGGTTTTTTGAACCGCTCTTAGTCTGGGCTCTCCCCTGCGACCTGTTAACCTTGGGAGACCCTACCAGGGGCTAATGCCCCGGACAACACAGCTCCCAGGATCACTGAGCCACTCAAACTCCTCCACCACGTTAAGGTGCCGATTCGTGGAGGAATACTGCCAAATGGTTAGATTAAGATCCCAGACACAAGGTTGCATGCTGTAATATTATTTGAAAATAAGTTACCATTTTTTTAAAACTATTTACTTCACTCACACCTTGTGCAATCTTTTTTGCAAGATATTCCTGGCTAAAACACTGCAGATCTTATCCACAACAGCCAACTACTGAGGCCAGTATATTATTATGCCAAGTGCCAAATGGATCGTTTTGTAACTCGACCAAAAAACATGAATCTGTCTATTATTTTAATAGTTCAGTATTGTATGAAAGATAACAGGTATGTTTATGCATGGCAGTGGCAATAGGCTATCACACATTTTTCGTTTCCACATTTATGTTTAAAATGAAAACATCAATTTGAATAGCTTGTATGCATGATTATCATGCAATTGACAGACAATGGTGATATTGGCATTGGTATCATCTGACAAGGTATGTTTCTAAATGGCAGTGGCACGGCCACCCTACTCACTGCACCTTGCACATGTTTAAAATAAAAACATGAATATATGAACCTGTGTATTATTTGAATAGCTTAGTATTGAATGCACAATAAAGATGCACATGTTTATACATGGCACTAGGCCCAGTTTAATATAAAACATAATTTTATACAATATATATAGTCGGGGTCCCTGCTCCATCTCTCTATCAGTTTGGGGGTCCTTGCCCTGAAAAACATTGAAGACCCCTGATATAAATGATACATAGGAGATTATTAATAGCAGTAGTAGTACCAATAGCAGAATAATAATGTAAAAAAGGTTGAGTACTAATAATAACAGTAGCAGCAGTATTGTCACATGACCTTTGACATCATCGTTGGCGATATCGACTATTCCTTCCCAATATAGCATCACACTAGCTGGAGGATTGAACCAAAATTGAAACATAAGACAGCATAAAATACATTAAAAAATGCACAAAATGAAAAATGCCAGACTTCCAGATGGACGAAACTAATTAAGGTCAATCAGAAATATGTCAGAAATGATCTGAGTGATATGGGTAGCAAACTTCATGAATATCAGAGCCTTCCACACATTAGATGACGATTTGGAGCATGCTAAACATGCGTGAACCCAATCACTGTATAATTTCGCAATCAGGGATGGATCTTTAGGATTTTATAGATGCTATTATCCATACTGCTTATGGGTTCGGTTCCTTATCGATATTCTTATCGGTTCTTTATGATTATTTTGTAAGAATATAATCAATATTACTTTATTATTCATATGTAAACAAATATTATTTCTTAAACGGCAAGAGCATAAATGTTTAAATAACTAATTATTGTTGACTATACTATTTCAATGCAAACAACAATTGGAAATACATTTTAGCTGAATTTCAGGAGAAGGACCACGCCACTCCCCCACTTCCGGCCACAGTCCTATAAATACGTATCTACCCACTCTAAGCCTCGACCTGTTCACGCTTTCCGCATCCCACCCTCCCTATTATTTTTCATAGTCATTATCCTTCCGTCCCACATGGAGACCTGGGGATCTGTGTGAGGAATTTAAGTTTAAAGCGCTCCTAGTGCTGGATATCAATAGTGTGTTTACTTGTAGGAGTTTTAACCAAGGAGTGTGGTTGAGTGTCTGTGTGAGGGGGTTGAGGAATGTGTTGTAAAAGGGGGGTTGGAAGAAAGTGGCTGGGTGAGGTGTCTGATCAGAACAACAGGTCAAGGGCCAAGGAGGGGCTTATTGGATTTCAGCCAATCATTGAGCTGATCGATGGGTGTAATATGAGACTCTTCAGAGACTTTTCGAGGGGACAAAGGGTTTGAAACTCTGGAGGATTTCAGATCTTCTGGGGACCACCTAGCAGTCACATCAGGCTACTGGGTGGCTCGGATTGGATCTCATATTTCATGAAATATTTGTTTTTTTTACTATTAATAGTGTGATTCAGTTTGTAACTGTATTTGCTTTTGTTAGATATTAAATGCCTTTTGATTTAAACTTCAACCAGCTGATTCGGCCTTATCTTGCTGACGGATCAGGAGCAAAGAGCGGGGCTTTTTCCTTTGCCTTTAGTTTGAGAAATTTTAAACATAACATCTGCAAGGCCCGGGAGCCGCAGTGGATCCTCAACTAAGCCTTCCCCAAACCGCTAAACTCTCACCCTGGCTAATTCTCCCTCAACCATTCCTCAACGCTCCAAATGATCGATGAAAGTTCGATTGGCTGAGGCGGGGTCCTAGCTAGTGAAATGTACATTTGAGAACATTCCTACAGGGAGGAGTATATTTAGTGCTCAGAGCCTTGGTCATCTCCCTAAAGTCAAGTAGTAACAACCATCGTTAATATGTGTTGGCTGGAATGGTAATGGGACTAGCAGCTTCAAAATAACTTAAAACACTAACGTATAACAACACAGCTGCTCCCCTTATTAAAACCTCTATAGCCCGAGCGAGCCCCATTTGGGGTTCGAGTACCGGTACCGAAGTTCCGAATGGACTTTTCATCAAGACATATGAAAAATGGTCCAGACATGTAAAATATCGGAAAAAAAAAAAGTCTGGGCAAAATCATCATGCAACCCATTTTACACAATTATACACAGTTATACACAAACTAATTCAATACACTAGAAGATTTATCACAATATCAGGATTTTTCTCCAAAAAAATCCGCCAACTATGCATCCGAAATTCATTTTTCATCACAAAGCCGGCAGCTATAATGGCGGATGGATACATGATTTTGCACGAGGGCTCGATACAGCGTCAACCCAGCGTGTCCAAATAGACCTCCGACAAAGCATTCAAAAGTCACAGGACAAACCCCAAGAAACCACACACTGCTCTCGAGAAAAAAAATTGAAAATCTGCTAACCTTTTTGTCATTTTCGTCCCGAAAAAAACAGTTAATCCATTGAAAGTTGCTGCAGCGCTGTGCTCCGTTTCCTGGTCTCTCTGCCTGCATTGAAATGAACGTGCTGTGACCTGGCATGCGAAAATGGCCCGCATTTTTCGCCTGGACCAATCTATTTTTCGCATGGGGGTTGAGCCCACCTTATCAAGATTTTTACTGGCTAATGTCCCTCAGCTTTCCAAATAACACCCCTGACGGCTTTCAATGGACTATTCCGGACCTAACAACGTGTCATATAATTAATTCCGCCAATCACAGGCCTTACAAATCCCACATACACACTGAGTCAGAGCAGGTTTTTTTCATGGATGAGACATATGACATCTGGAAATAACTGAACATGGCTGAAAATTATTGCAAACTGCTTTATTACGATGTATTGAACACTCTTAGTGATAAAGCAAGTGAATATATAGTTGACATGTAGTTATATAGTATATAAAATTAGAATAGAGCAGCGCAAAATCTGGTTCCAAAAATGAAAATTTGGCTTGAAATTCTGTACTCAGACCTCATTTATGCTGGCCTGCTAAGTAAAATTAGCTTGGACAGACCACAAACCTGTTGTGCTATGACTGTGGAGTATTTTTAGGCTTCAATCTGCATTATTTCAAAAAAGATGTTCAATAAAAGTGCTTTTTTTTCAGGCGAACCTGGAACTTTTCAATTTGAGCTGTGTGCCATCTTCGTTCACTATTAACCAGTAACATATACACAATATTTACACATCTGAACAAGTCTCTCACAAGTTTTACCTGTATTATACCATCAAAATTATTAAAATAGACCTTGTAGTTTCAGATCTACAGTCTAAAAGGTATGGATATGCAATTTTAGAGGCCTAAAAATAGGGCTAGGGCTATAGAGGTTATTAATAACTATGTATCAAACAACTCAATATACACTGACAGACTTATTAGTTGTTCCCTAATTCCCTTTGACTCCACTGTTGGGAAGGGGTGCAGGCCTTTAACAATAAACTGGGTAACAGCGCTGTGACACTCGTCCTGTGTCATCTTCCCTGTAGCTGCTTGTAAGAAGGGACTTGGGCTAGGACCGGCGCTGGTAGAGGGAGATGGGTCGGCTGGGTCAGGGCTGCAGCCTCAGCCGAGATCTCATTCCATAACTTCTAAAGCACCGATAGCAGAACCGTTGACTACGGACCTTATCGATGCTCCAGGTATTTACTACTGTCTTATCGATTCCTGTTTAGAACCGGGTATTGGGGGGCATCCCTACTTGCAATGTTCAGTCTTTGTTGTGTGCCCCACGTTTTGTGAATTTTCAAGTATATCAAAGGGTGCCAAAAAAGCTAAATACAATTAGGGGGTGCTAGAGATCAAGAGTTTATGTGCATCCCCAGAGTACTGAGTTAGTGAATCAGCACTCTACTCTGGATGTTGCTGGATGTTCTTAGGAGAACACACGGAAAACGAGAAATAACTTTTCATATTACATACAAACCGTTGTATGAGGATACATGACTGTTACAAAAAAAAAGTCCTCTCAAAACTTGGTTTTATTTTGTTGGTATTTATTTCCAGCATTTTGGTAATCAGTATTGCGTGATTAGGATTGGAGCACTGGGCTTCCCATGTTTTTAATGGATGAATAAATTGAAACTCTGAACCTATGCAGTAATAGACCACATTAATGGTACAACATTGGAAAAATCTGAATAATGCTATAATCATTTTTAAATTTTACACATAACTGTAATAGCTGTAAATGTACATTTGCTTGTATTACTTAGATATAACTGATTATTTCAAATTAAAGGTTTAGAAATTGCGAGATCAGCCAATGCAATACTCTGCCGTAAACTGTACTGCTGTAAGGCACTCATGGTTACAATAACCTGAAAACACATCTTGTGGGGTGATAATGTGACTTACGGAGTGACGATCCAGCAGAACCTCCTCGTAGGATCTGGTTAAGGACATCATCAGTATCGCTGCTGCTCGCCATGCTGTTCCTCATCTGCATCATAGACAGCTGAGAGCATAGGCTGGGCTGACGGTCCATCTTCTTCACCGCCTGGAACACATCCACCACCATCATCATCAACACCATCATTTCTGTAGCTGTCATCCATTATGCTGTTGATGTGTTACTTCCAGTGTTTGTGCCATTTTATTATAATTTGACATGAGACCTGGGCCTACCTTGTCACTGAGTGTGGGGTCATTCAGAGAGTACAGTTTGTTGGTGATGTCTTTGCCAATGAGGTACCTGAACACCTCATTTAGGAAAGTATTAGACTCCAGGAAATAGGTGAGCCTCTCTCGAGACCAACACAGGAATTTACAGTTCTCCTCTGCCATGATGGTCACCTGTCAAACACATCATTTGTCTTTCAAAAAAGCAGTTAGTTCAAGTTCTGATTAGATGTGCAACGGATCATAAAACCCACGATTCGGATCGTATCACGGATCAGCACAAAAGAAAAAAAGGGAGCAAATGTAACTTTTACAGATCCCTCAACACGTTTTTTTGCCGGCGAAACTAATTGATGATCATTGATGATCTATATTGACAGATACAGATCCCTTTGTTGTTTAATTATACAGCTGGTTGCAGGCTCCAGACAATTTTCTTTTTGCAACCAACCAAAAAAATCATTTTGATCGCTCTGAAGTCTGTAAACCATCAACTATTCTAAATGTTGTACTTTTAGTTTTGTCATCTGTTGTGTTTTGTATCTTCTTAAAAATACGCAATTCAAATGATGAAGAAATAAAAGATTGCATTTTTATGGATTAAAACAAATCTTGTCAATAGTAGTTTTAAAGATGTTTTAAGCTGTTTTAAGCTGCTTAGAGGTATTGCAAACAGGTCATAATTCATCTATAATATCTATGTTGTTGTGAAAACATCTTCAAACAACTGGATTTATTCAAGTTTCTAACCAAAACTACTTTTTGCGAGATTACATGTGAATACATGATTTTGTTATAATTTAACTTCGCCTAATACTAATTTTCACTAAACAGAGCCTGAACGCATCATAATGTAACCAAACGGAACCTTCAATCGTTGACCGTTAGCGGTGCTGCCAATGTAACTAGCTCTTCTGCTCAATTCAAACACGGATTGGTTGTTGACAATGTAACATTATGGAGTTGGTGACTAGAAAAGTATAAATGCCGATGTCCTGATGAGATATTTTACTGAATATTGGCGGATAACGGTCGTCATTAAAACTTTATTTCACACTGTGTGTAACGTTAAACTGGAATGTATCCATGTTTTCCACGCATGCCGAACCGTGAGGGGGGGATCCGTACGGATCACGGATCAACAGTGGTCCGTTACTACACTAGCTCTGACCTATTATTCATTTTATCACTGCAATCTACATGTTGATGACAAGGCCGATATGTTTTTATTTGAGGCAATTAAGCAATGAAGGTACAAAAGCAGTTTGTTTATTGCTGTTGTCCATCTGATCTTCTAATTACCTGAAACTTCTCTCCTCTGTGCATCTCAGTAGACCTGAACTCTGGAGAGTCAATGAATGAATTGGTATAGATGTTGTGAAGAAAATGGCCTCGATACGATACCTTCATCCTGTCACAAAGAAACGTCAAAGTCAAAACTCAGATTCATCTTTAAAACAAAAACGCCATCTCTTATAAGTGATTTTAAGCCTTAATCTTCTTGTGTTGACTGGTGAACCCAAAAAAGGCTGTGCCTATTCCTTTAATGGCCATTTAGCCTAATGGTGCGTTCACACCAAACGCGGCGCAAATTATTCGCCAATGTCTATGCACAGACGCGATGAGACTGGAGCAACGCAAATTTGCGATGGCGCGGCGCGATTGATGCAAATTCGTGGCGCGATTGACGCAAATTGACGTCAAACTCCAAATCGCCCCAAACGCGGCAGTTTAAATTTTTCAACTTCGGCGAAATATTCGCGTTACGCCCCGGCGCGATAGCCTATCAGCGTTGAGTTGTTTCTCCTGTCATCGCTGACTGCCGTTGTTGAATCAGGAAATAAATACTGTAGCCGTCTGTGTTCACCCAGAGCTCTACGATACCTCATATCAATAGAGACCGGACCAAACTATGTGTATAAATGTGTGTGTAAACCATGGTACAAACAATGAATAGACACTGCCGTATTTACGTCTAGATGACGTTATTCTGAGTGTTGGTGGAGCTGCTACAATGTTAGCATAGCCTAGCACCGATCCATCCGAGCTCCATCGAGAAGACAAGTACAAATCGGCGGCATCATTACGTAGTTAGTTCGGAGTCCCTTTTTGTCGGTTTATTGCCGTTAAATCACAGCCAAATCAGTTTATTTTGTGTTCATACAGCTGTAGTAAACAGCGACGTGTGAATACACTTCGATAAAATCCACGGAGGTCCTCTGGACAATGTTATGAACCAGACATGACGGCGTTTAGTTTCCCGGGATATCTGTGACTTCCACAACACGTACTATGCAGAAATAGGTTATTTTTTCCATGGTTAATGGCGGACAGTTGAACGGCTTACAGGGCGATAAGCCTCGCCCCCTCTCCGGCGCGTCCAACGCGTCCAGCGCGATTCGTGAACATTGTTTTAATGTTAGGTACACTAATGTGGCTCAAAGGTAACTTTTAATAACATTAAAACTAATAATATTACCCTGTGGAAAGTCAAAAGTGCCATTTTATGCCTCTATTTTCACCTGTTTTAAATACTTTTTTTTTTTAAAGCCACTTTTAATGCTGCTTTACTGAGTAACATTAAAACGTAACTTTTTCACAGTTTTTTTTACGTTAATAAGCCCTTCCTTCTGTTTTGCATAGCCAGTTAGCTCAAAGACGGCACAGCCTAGTTAACTGGTAGCCTACTGCTGCACTTTTAGTGACACTATGTCCACTGCCAAAGTCGGCAAATGACTGAGAAACAGAAGTGGAAAATCCTACTGCTTCCGTCAAGTAACCAGTGTGGCAACATTTCTCTTTCCTTATAGTTCCTTACAGTTTGTAGGCTGCAGAAGATTTAGAGACTGCAGCGTGATTTTTGGAATCAAAGTGGTGTGATTTTTTTCCCAGCTGTGCTCCAAAGATTTTATCAATCTTTTAAACCACTTCAAATCTTTGTAATACTTGGCATGCTGCTGTTTCTGATAGAAGAGATATCCATACATTAGATCTATGCAGAATTCACATATTTGTGCTTTCGGTCTGAAGGGCCTTCATCAGAGCATACAGGATTCAACTGGATTGGCAAGTGAAGAAACAAAAGAATTCACTTGAATTCAAGGCTCCACCTCCTGGGAACTGCAGCCTTAAAGTAATGAATGGAGTATTGAGTGGCTTACAAGTGGAAGTCACACTTACAAAACACAGAGAAAGGTAGAGTACCATGAAAAGTACCAAGAAAAGGTACAAAAAGTACCATGAAAAGGTACAAAAAAGGTACAAAAAAGGTGGAGCCTCTGGCTCACGGTGTGGAAACATTAATGTAAGGTCACGTCAAAAAAAAAAAAAAAAAAAACTTTTTATTTAAGATGTGCGAGCATGGTTGCTTGGGAAAAGTAAAATTAATATTCTAACTCCAACACAGTACTTAATGTTGGTGAAAACTAATATTTGCTTGTGTATTTTTCACCGGTTTTGTACTTTTTCATATTAAACCTGTCCAAATACAACACTCTGGTCTGTTCCTTGGAGGAAGAGTATGAGGAAGAGTTTAGCTGACTGCAAAGCCCAATACAAGACAGAGAGTCAACATTAGGACTGAGATAAAATGACAGGTACGCATGTGCTGCATGATGATATCACAGCTTCACATGAGCAATGGAAGCCTATGAGGCAGTTCATGCCAACTCATCCCAGTGGATTAGAGGGGCTGTCTGTGGACAGGCAGAAGACAGTTAGTCTCTCTCTTCCCATACTTACTGAGTGCAGTGCTATTCCCAACAACAACGGGAGAAAATACCTACTGTTATGAACTCAGACAAGAAGGCGTTTAGTTTCCCGGGATATCTGGGACTTCCACAACAAGTAATAAGCAGAAATAGAGGTTATTTCTTCCACGGTTGGTGGCGGAAATAAATGGCTTCCATGGAGATAAGCCACTCCCCCTCTTCGGCGCAAATGAGGCGAATAACCACAAATGATCCTGCGAGTAAATTCCCACAAGTAACGCAACGCGAAAATTTGGTTCAGTGTGAACACAGCATAACACATCACGAGTGTCACCGCAGTATTTATGTTTCCAGGAATCAGACCAGTGGCGGCTGGTGGAAAATTTTCTAGGTAGGGCCATCCTATCAATTTCAGCAAACATCCCAGTATGATTTAATGCAAAAAAATTAAAGTATCAAACACGCATTACTACTTTGCAGTTAAATATTTAACATTTATTCCAACACGAAAAAAAGCTGTAAATAACACTTATATAATATAATATAACATGTTTATTTATTGAGATGCCCCTATGGACCTTGTTATAGGAGGTAAAAGTCAGGAGAAGTAAACACGAAATGTAATTAGGAATACTGATGTTAAATTAAGGCTTAAGCTATGATGAGTTTTCACTGTTAATTTACCATCTCAATTACATGTTGATGCCTCCATGACCAAGTTAAGCAGATGAGACTGAGGACAACTATGTAGAAGAAAATATGTTCACTTTGCCTAATATGTAGCTTGACAGAGTTCTCCATGTGTGCCTTGGTGTTCTCATGTTTCCTTACTTCCTCATCCCTCACTCCCGTAACTGTCCGTGCTGGATTCGTCCCCGTTGTTTTAAAAAGCTAAATAAGTTATTAGCATGACGTCATCCAGCTAGCCAAACCTGTCTGGTGTACAGCTAGTACAGAAGCTTCGCATGGACTGCTTCCCTTTCCCGCTAGTCTGCTGTCTGATTGTGAGGTCAGGCTGATCAGATATCAGCTCTTTGGCCTGCAGAATCTCCGCCAAAGGTCTCCTCTCAAACAAGACTTGAAGGAGTAGTGCTCGCCTGTAGAGACTTCTCCTGACGAGAACGCGCAGCTAGGGGGGCTAAATATTTTTGGCCCCACACTGAATCTATTTGAGGGCGCTGATTGGCTAAATTGTATGTCACTCATTTATATCTTCAATCAGCAATTGGCTAAACTGCTTCATAGACCCGCCTCTTTTGGGCCAAAACGATTTTGCCCCCCTAGCTGCGCGTTCTGAGACGTGTCGTGCACACAGGCGGAGAGCACGAGCAGACGAGCACACAGATGGAGAGGACGAGGAGGAAAAGCATATATTCTGCGCAGATATCATATTTTACACATATTACTGGGGCCATGCCCCATTGCCCTCTATTGGCCAGCCGCCACTGAATCAGACAGATTGTTTCCAAAATGATCACGACAATCAGTGGTATCCACCATCCTGGATATCGTTTAAAAAAAGGAAGTTTCACAGGTGAATACAATGTGTTTATTTATTTATTTATGTTTTCTTTAGTGCTGGGCAAGTTAACGCGTTAATTTCGCGTTAACGCATTCATTAATTAACGCCGACAATTATTTTATCGCGCGTTAATGCATTTTTTAATTTCTTATGATTTTTTATTTTTTATTTTTTTTATTTATTGAAAGACAAGAGACAATACATATACATAACAACAAGAGAATGACAAGAACAGTGGGATAAAAGCCAGCAAACATCCTATAGTCAGTAATTTTAGTGCACCTATATGCTGAAATTCACGGTAAACGCATTTAAACGGCACAGATCGGGAGCGAGCGAAGGACTTTGAAAGTTAGCGGAAACATTAACGTGATACAACATCCGGTTTCTTCAGACAAACATCCGGTTTTCAGAATAAGATGCCAAAAAAGTATGAATTATATTCACGTTAAGTATAAAACATGCTACCTGCATCTCGTGAACTAAATGTTATTGCCCTTTTGTTCATATAGCAGTACTTTTAAAATAAAAGTGCGCAATACACTACTTTTGAATTCATTATTGAACTTTGCCATAACAATGCGATTAATCGCAAAAAATCCATGCAATTAAATATTTTAATCGTTGCCCAGTACTAGTTTTCTTATGGCATTATGATTAGGACTGATAATGAGGATATAGAGTGATTGTGCGACAGCTGTCACTGGCTGTATTTCCAGACTGTGTTTATTTACACAATCCTTATGTGCAGGTGAAGATTTGCCAGGTGAGGTGAATGGAGAAGGCAAAGTGTGTGACAGTCACCGTGGTGACTCCAATTAGCTCTGATACTCGCATCGGATAGCTGTTTTCAGTTTGTGTCTGTACAGTGTATCTGTCCCGATGGAATAAACTATAACTGAAGGAAGTGTTAACTGCAGCGATTTTACTCACAGACAATTTATGAAAACTGAAATCGTACTTGGTGATATATGCACAGTATTACAAGATGGGTCAGAGTTTCCGTACAGGTGCGCAGATTCTCCCGTCAAGTTTGATTTTATAGATCACAACTTTTGCTTGGGAAATGGCATATGCCTTTTTCAGACCCCGTTTTGTTACCCAACAGTTATAAATGAAACCCCTGGGCTTTTGGAGTTCTGTATGGTGCTTTTATCACGTTAACAAATGTTTCATTGTTCATGCATGAAAAACGTTTTTCCTGAATCCATTGACATTACTAATCTTGGATCTTTTTCAATTTTAGATAGCTCTATCATATGATATAATTCACAGATATTGTCGATTTTGGAGCTCATGGGTCACTGAAGTTATTACTGGTTCCAGTCTAAGGGTTTAGAGAATATTTTAAAATCTACATTGAGAAATGATAGTGGTCTATACAACCCACATATGTTTTCATCCTTAAATGGTTTATGAAAAACATAAATCTCACCAATTCAAAAGTTAGAGGCCCTCTTTATGAAGATTCATTAAGCATATCTTAATAACAGAGCAGATCTCAAAGTTTCTTAAAAAACTCTAATGGGAAGCCATCGGGTCCCTGTGTTTGTCCTAGTTGTAGGACAAACACAGGG